ATTTCGTCCTACCTCCTCAAACTTGGCTTCAACTGCTCTCAAGCCTCCCCCTCCAACAAAATCTGGATTTTCTGGAATTCCCTTACCCTCACCCTCACCCACTGCATGATAGAAGATCAAGTCATTACTTGCAGATTCATCCACACTATATATTCTAAAATCATCAATATCTCCTCCATTTATGGAAAGCATGACCTCATCCAGAGAAGAGAACTCTGGAACATTCTCTCTTCACATAGACCGACAGATGAAATGTGGATAGTTGGTGGCGATTTCAACGCCATTACAAGCCTGGCTGAGCACAAGGGAAACTCTTCCCCCTGCAGCAGAAGTATGGAAGATTTCAATGAATGCATTGAGGACAACTCCCTTCTCCCGGTTGACCCTTATAGGGGCTGGTTTACCTGGAGTGGTATAAGAGGACAAGGTAGAGTTTGGCGTAGGCTGGATAGGATCCTTATCAATAGTTGTGTTTTAGCTACCTTTGATGAAATCAACTGCAGGCATCTCAGTAGAACTGGATCTGACCATAACCCTCTCCTCCTTGAGTGTACTCTTGCACACACATCTACCCCAAAATCCTTCAGAATCCTTCAACCCTGGCTCTCTCACCCAACCTTTCTGGACCTGGTCTCCAAGTTCTGGAAATCTACCCCTACCTCAGGAGGAATGAGAGGTTTATGCAACAAGCTACAAGGATTAAAAGGAGCCCTTAGAGAGTGGAACAAGAACATTTTTGGAGACATTTTCTTGGCAGTCAAACAAGCTGAAGAAGAAACCCTAGCCGCAGAACTGGCATTTGATGTAACGCCATCAGAACTTAATAGAGAAACCTGGTCCAAATCCAAAGCAAAACTCATCTTGGCAACCAACAAAGAGGTTGAATTCTGGAAACAAAAGGCTAATATTAGATGGATGGAGAAAGGTGACTCCAACTCCAAATTCTTCCATTCGTATGTTAAAGGAAGGAAGCATAAGCTAACAATCAAGCACATTAAATCCCAAGAGGGCAAAAACCTTACCCAGCCCCATGATATCCAAAAAGAAGCAGTCAGCCACTTCTCCAGCATTTTCTCCAAATCTANATTACTCCTCGATGGGCCATTACCCACACCAGACAACACAATCACCCAACACCTTCTCTCCTAGTGGACAACAGCAAAAGGAAAAGGGTTCGAGGGGAATCTAAAGGCAGTGGTACCTGGATTCATCGCATGGGCCTTATGGAAGAACCACAACTCAGCTCTCTATGAAGGTACTCAAAACAATGCCCATCACCTACTCAAAACCATCCACTCCCTAATCCAAAAATGGTGCTGGATAAATCGGAAGAAAAAATGGCTGATCAAAGGTCCAAACCAGAATCATGAGCATTGGCGAGGAGAATTTTTCTGGCTTAGTGGAAAAAGAGTTTTAGCCTCCTTAATATATTCATAACCATGAACTTCAGTTATATCTTTGTTGTATTTGCCTTTCTATCAACTTTGGGGCCAGGTCTAGCCCTCCCCAAACTTGCTGTAACACCTCTTACTTAATTAATAAAAATCCTTATATATATATATATATATATATATTCATAATTTTATGTTAATTTCATCAATATTGTAGCTTCATGTACAAAATAAGTTTAAGGTTTGTTGAGATTGATTTTCGAGTATACACTAATCAATCCATTTTTGGTGTGTTAGATTTTTCTTGATTTCTAAACACAAGGACTATATATTGTTTTTTTAAATTAGCATATTAATAAATGGAATCAAATATCCAAAATATACAGGTTTGAAACTAAAATGCATGGAAATATCCGGAAAAAAACAGGATCATTTCTCAAGTGTGTGTCATCCTTGCGCAAGGCATGCTAATCTTCTCTTTATTGTCCAATCACAAATATTAAATTAAGGTTAAAATTCTGATTTATAATTTGTTATAAATCGTGATGAGAAGATAGGGTTCCATTGAGTTTTTATCATCAGTTCTTTTTCTGCCCAGTATTGCAAATAATTCCAAACAAAATTTAAATGAGGTTTAATGCTTCATTTGTCATCATTTTAGTTATTTTTTATCCTGTCTTTGGTCTTATGAGCTACATGTTAGCGGCTTTTACATCTATTAATGATTGGGTCACATGTTGTAGAGGATATGTTGTATTTTGAGAATACATGGTTCAAACCTTGCCGCAAGATAGACATTACACGATTGTGAAGTTGATGTTCAAATATTGCCACAAGATATTATGTGTATGATTATTGTTTGCTAAAGCTACTAGTACTAGATTGATGAAGCTAGAATCATAATCACTTCAGGTTTTAAGACACTGCTCTACATCCCTTAGGCCGATGGCTTTTCTTTCATTCTTCTGAATGTTCGCCGTCAATGCTTCAAATATCACACCATACCATTTTGTTTGAATATATGCTCATACTTATTCACTAAAGCTTGAAGGTAGAAATGCTCGGAAAAAGAGGATGTGAGGGATTCATATTTTTCTTGCAAACTTTTTTTTAATTTTTTATTTGTTGTAATTTCATCATGACAAGATTTTTTTATTGTTCATCCATATATTTTGGCTTCCGAAACTCTGGTATATTACGGCTCTAAAGGTTGTTATTGTTGTTCAAGAGGTCCTTCTATCATGATTGTTAGAAAAACGTCCCAACGCTAGAGGGGGGTGAATAGCGTTTGAAACGAAAATGACGCAGGAATAAAAAATTAAAAGCGTAAAGAAAAGAGCAAGGAAGAGGCACACCATTTTTACCGTGGTTCACCACAACTTGTGGCTAGTCCAGCCTCCCGATAGTCTCTCTCGAGCTACACTACTATCTCGTTAAGCTTAACGGTGCTTAACAAACCCGTACAACTTGAGAGTTCGAGTCACACGAACCTCAACGAACCTTCGAAGGAAACAACCCTTCCTTCGAACAACAAGAGAAATATTTTCTCTTGTCAAGTGTCTAAGAACACTAAATCACTCAAGAACAATTCTCACTTTTAGAGTGGATAATGAGTAACTAAGAACGCTCAAGAACACAACACAAGCTTCACAAAAATGGCTCTCAAAAAAGCTATGAATAATGGATGAATGGTTTGCAATGAAAGAGTAGGAGTTGTGAAGTAATGTGATGTGTAAAGCAGACCCAAACACCCCATTTTATAGTGGAAAAATAGGCTCCAACGGATAAAAACATTTAATGGGTAATTGGCAGAATATGTGGGATTTGATTAAAATTGGATCTGCTGAAATTCACCCAGACAGCGCTGTCCATGGCTTGGACATCGCTGTTCTAGGTTTGGTTTTTGAAAATTGGGAAGCAACGGTCATGCCAACAGCGATGTCCAAAACCCCTACATCGCTGTTTTGGCTGTTGACTTCCAAACAAGGAAAGTTTTAGCCATAAATTCCTCCCAACGGTCAGATGCCTACATCGATGTGCACAAGTTGAACATCGCTGTTTAGGCTTGACTTTGAAGGTGGAAAGTTTGGCCTGACATCGCTGTTGCTGGGACAACAGCGCTGTCCAAAAACTTTCTGCCAATGCAATTGTTTTTGGCTTAGGTTGGACAGCGATGTAGGGAAGGGTACATCGCTGTTCCAGTTGTTTCTGGAAACCCAACCTTGGCTCAACAACGATGTCTAGACACCAACATCGCTGTTAGAAGACTTAACGCCAAACCATGTTTTTCAGCTACCCATGCCAGACAGCGCTGTTGGTTACACCAACATCGCTGTTGGGCTGGTTTGGCCAGACCCATGGTTGGTTTAGTCATGCCGTTAGCCGATGTCAAAAAGATAAGTTCTCCAAAGTAAAAACCAAGTATTGAAAACATTTGTTTAATGCATTTTGCTAAGAAATCAAGTAAAACATCTTGAAAACCACGTCATTTAGTTGAAAACTACGACTAGCCAAGTTTACGCCGTTTCGCATGGTTTTCACTAAACGACCAAAAACGAAAGGTGGTTTTTGAAGCGTTTTTGTTGGAGAACTATTTAAATGTGCCCAGAAGAAAAAATCAATCATAAAAGTTGAAAACCACTTGGTTGGTTCGGATGCCAAAAACCAATGCCGATAACCGAAAGCCGAACGCCGGTTTCTGAAACCCGAACGCCGGATGGCTTGGTTTTTGGTTTGGGCGAACTCCAAGTGTTTTTAGGCATGTTTAAAACTTATGAAAAACATTTTTGAATATGCACAAAGTATTTTGATGAAATGAGCTTAGAGAGCCAAGTTTTGAAAGTTTGTGCCGGTCTTGATCACATTAAGACCAATTCAATAAAATTCTAAGTCTTCGTTCTTGGTTCTTGGTTCTTGGTTCTCAAATCATCATGCCATGTTCCTTCGCCTTTGATTTGCTCAGTTTAGTGTTTGTTGTCACGACGGTTTGGCATTATCAAAACCTGTCATAAAACGAACACGGTTTAGTACGGCGTAGGCGTAAACCCGTGTTCCAACAATGATGAGGCTAATTTTTTGTCAATATCCAGTAGTAGCACTGATGGGAACCTTATTGCATCAAAATTTTCAAATTCGTTAATTATATATAAATTCATTTATGTATTTTTAATCTGTCAAAAAAACACATTGTTGTTGAGTGTGACAAGTGAGATAAATATAGATGAATTTACTTAAATAACACTTAAATCTAATGACTTTCCTTAAATAGCATCACATATATTTTTTCCCCGGTGTAGTGCTTTTAGTCATTATCCATTAGTCATTATTCAAGTAAATGTTCGCTATCACTGAATATTATTCCTCATTCTGGACATTATTAAATGTTATTTAGGGAATACAACAATTTAAGTGCTATTTAAAGAAATGACTTAAGTTTTAGTGTCATTTAGTGCAAATATTTCTTAAATATATGTTATGATGCAATCATTTAAATTAGTATTAACCCTTAAAAAAGCAGTATTAACCTTTTTTGTCATTAAATAATTCACATTTTATATAATGCAATCTACATATGAGGATGAAATTTGCAGATGAAATGGAACTACTCTTTCAAGAAATAGATTATGAAACAAATTTAGCTCGAAGGTAATCTTCATTCTTTAGTACTCAGTAGTGAATTCTATGATCCAACTTTGTCAAATCTTTCACCAAATCTCATTCTTTTCATTTATACATCATCTCCATATGAATTTCATATTTATTTTATCATATCTACTGTCAATTGTTAAATTTCATATGGTGATTGTTTTCAAATCTAGATGCTAAATTTGTTGAAATTAGATTTCTTCCATTTAAAAAAGTTAAGGTTCCAAATCAATAGGCTAATAAATTTTTGGTTGGTATTGCTCCCTCATTGAACAACTTTGTCTCCATATCAATACATTGAGAATGGAATATTCGTGAATTGGCAGTATGTTCTAATTTTAGTTGCTAAAGTGTTTGATTTCAAGAAAGATATTTGTGGTGTCCATGTAGAATCAGTTGATCTTGAAGAAGGAATTGATGATGCTAAGGAAGGGAATCACAATCATTTGTTATTTGGTTGTGGTTTATATCACTTAGATTTATTGTTTAAGAATGATAGATTGTTTAATTTGCAACTCTAGGATTAGCATGATGTGATTGAACATCCTATGGACTTCCCAACTTTGAGGAACACGCTTAGAAATGGAATTCCCTGTTGCTTATAGGTTGTTTATGATTTGGTTTTAAGCTTTTTAATTTGGAGTGAAGATATATTTCCCCTATTGTTGGGAAACTGAATTTTAAATTCTTTAAGGATATACTAAAGTCACCCTCAAAACGACTATAACAACACATTTCATCTACATTTGCTAAATCCACACTCGCTAATATTAATTTAATATTGGTCTGAATTTAGCAAATTTAAGTTAAAGGTTTGAATATGGGCATTTTGTAAGTGGATTTAGCAACACCCTTTTTTATTTCAGTGTATTAACTAAATCTTTACACATCACCAATCTATTAAAATGTGATTGAGTTAAATATCCTTTTGTGTTGTGGTTTCTGTTGGAACACACTTTTTATGAAGTTAAACTAAAATTGTGTTCATTTTTGACAAGTTTTGATAATTGCCAAACCGCCGTGGATATGAAGAGTTTCGTTGAATAACTCAAGGCGAGAAGAATGGCATGGAACAAGACCTAAAAGACTCAAGGACAAGATCAAGAATTGAAGAGTTAGTCGAGTTGGTCTTTTGTGATCAAAACTGACAATCAATTCAAGTCTCGGTTCTCAAAGAGTCAAAATTATTTTACAATATCATAAAATGTTTTTGTGCATCAAAATAAACATTTTTGATAAATTTTTTATTAAAATCCCTGGTCCTTGCCCATACCAAAAACCACCTCGGTCGGTGTTCGGTTTCGGCGTTCGGTTTT